ATGTACAAATACCTTTTTCTTCTTTCTTTCTTTCTCAAGCTTTTAAAGTAAGTCTAGTTTCCTCAAAATCTTTTTAAATGGCATTTACAACTTTTTACTTTACCACACAGAGATTATCTCATCTAGAAACATTTCTTTTTCCTTTAACCTTTTATATTAAAATATATTTCCACATCTTGAATCTTTTTATATCTCTTTTTTAACTGTTAACCCTTTTTATAAATTTACATTTTGAAACAACTCTTATAAAATTTCTGATTTAGACAAATTACTCCACTTTAATAAGATGAAAGACTTTCATGTTTTTTATGATACTATGATACTATAATTGAAACCCAACTGAAAATTTTTCTACTCTTTGTATATAAATTACACATAATAGAATCTTAACTCTTAGTAACCTTGTTTTAGCAAAGACACAGACACAAAGCAATATTAAACATTTTTCCATTTACCAATTTATGAAAACACACATAATGTTTAAATATATTACCTTATGGAACTTAATAAGTAAAGAGTGGTTGTTGTTTCAACATTTTAGCTTTGTAAATTAATCAGAACTTTGTAGAAACCAAGATCTTAAACAAGTGTAGCAAACAGAACTAGCCCTCTCTTTCTTGTTGAAGAAAAATCTTTCTACAGGATACCATGATGGTCCCATTGATATACTTAATAACTCGTCTTTAAAAAGCCATGGGCTACATTTTTGTATTGTATCAACATATGTCCTAACTGTTCTTGGTCTTACTGGGGTGCCTCCTTTCTCTAACAATTTCTCTTCCTCGGAGGCGAACAACTTCAAACCTTGAGTCAACCATTTTCCCCAGTTTGCCTGAGAAAGTTCTAGGAACAGGCAACTTGAAATAAAAACAAAATAAATCAAAACAATAACACATTGTTTTTTGAAATGTTCACCCATTTTTTTTCTCTTCCTCAAGGGTGAGAAATTTCACTTACCTCTAAGCTTCAGAAGTTCCCCGTAGGGGCCACCAAATGCCGCAGTCTGGCTGGGCACAAATGCACGAGCCACCACACAGCTTGTAGATTCAAACAGCAACTCTTTATTCCCGAACTCACACCAGCCGTCTACAATCACGTTCTGGGGAAATCCACGTTCTCTGCCCAAATCCACGTTCTCTGCCCAAATCCACCTCCACTGGGCTTCTATCTCCAAAATATACTGAGCTTCTATCTCCAAAATACACTGTCTGAATCCCGTGAGAACTCAAGGGGAACTCAGGCAGCAGGATACGCCCTATTCCCAGGAGGAATAATCTTAAACCTTAAACCTGGAACCTAAACTGGGAACGCCCTAAACACGATTATCTTAAAACCGGGAACACCCTAATCTGCCTTGGTCCTTGAGCAAGGTCACCTACATTCAATGTCGCTGCAACATGTCAGCAACATGGGGTACGCTGGCAAGGAAATTGTCATACCTACTTGGCTAATGGCTCCCAGCAAATGGTGATGACAGATGATTGCACAACAATGTTCAAAGTATTTACTGCTACCAAAGTGTACACCAAAAAATTCCACCAGAAAACTTCTAGAATTAGTAAATGAATTTAGCAAAGTAGCAGGATACAAAATCAACACCTATAAATCAAAGGCATTTCTATGACAAATCCTCTGAAAAGAAAACAAGGAAAACTAACCCATTTACAATAGCATCAAAAAAATATTTGGGAATGAATCTAACAAAAGATGTGAAAGACCTCTACAATGAAAACTACAGAATGCTAAAGAAAGAATTAAAGAAGACCTTAGAAGATGGAAAGATCTTCCTAGTTCCTGGGTAGGCAGAATTAATATTGTCAAAATGACCATACTACCAAAAGCACTGTACAGATTTAATGCAATTCCAATCAAAATCCCAATGACATTTCTCATAGAAATAGAAAAAGAAGTCATGAAATTCATCTGGAAAAATAAGAGACCCAGAATAGCTAAAGCAATCCTTAGCAAGAAGAGTGAAGCAGGTGACATCACTATACCATCTTAAACTATACTACAGAGCAATAGTAACAAAATCAGCACTGTATTAGCACCAAAATAGACTTGTAGATCAATGGTACAGAATAGAGGACACAGAGACTAACCCATATAATTACAGTTATCTTATATTTGAAAAAGGTGCCAAAAACGTATATTGGAGAAAAGATAGCCTCTTCAACAAAAGGTGCTGAGAAACTGGAAATCCATATGCAACAAAATAAATTAAACCCCTATCTCTCACCATGAATAAAACTCAACTTAAAGTGGAACTAAACCAGAGACACTGCATCTATTAGAAGAAAAGTAGGCCTAAAACCCCATCATGTTGGAGTAGGACCCAACTTCCTTAATAAGACTCCTATAGTGTAAGAATTAAAACCAAGAATCAATAAATTCAAGCTAAAAAACTTCTTCTCAGCAAAAGAAACAATCAATGAGGTGAATAGAGAGCCTTCATCTTGAGAGCAAATTTTGACCACTCATATATCAGATAGAGCACTAATCTTTAGAATATATAAAGAACTCAAAAATCTTAACACCAAACAACCAAATAACCCAATCAATAAATGGGCCAAGGAACTGAACAGACACTTCTCAGAAGAAGATATACAACCAAACAACAAATATATGAAAAAAATGTTCAACATCTCTAGCAATTAGAGAAATGCAAATCAAAACTACTCTAAGATTTCATCTCATTTTAGTCAGAATGGCAGCTATTAAGAATACAAATAACAATAAGTGTTGGTGAGGATGTGGGGAAAAAGGCACACTCATACCTTGCTGATGGGATTACAAACTGGTGCAACTAATCTGGAAAGCAGTATGGAGAATTCTTAGAAAACTGGGAATGGAACCACCATTTGACCCAGCTATTCCACTCCTCAGTCTATTCCCAAAGAACTTAAAAGAAGCATACTACAGGGACACATCCACATCAATGTTCATAGCAGCACAATTCACAATAGCTAAACTGTGGAACCAACCCAAATGCCCTTCAGTAGATAAATGGATAAAGAAAATGTGGATGGAGCTGGAGAATATAATGCTAAGTGAAGTAAGTCAATCCCCCCAAAACAAATGCCGAATGATTCCTCTGATTTAAGGATGCTGATTCATAATATGCTATGGGTGGGGGGTGGGGAATGGGAGGATTAAATAAACTCTATTAGACAGGGCAAAGGGGAAAAGGGGAAGGAGGAGAAGGGAAAGCGAATAGGAAAGATGGTGGAATGCGATGGTCATCATTATCCTAAGTACATGTATGAAGACACAAAGGATGTGATTCTACTTTGTGCACAACCACAGATATGAAAAATTGTACTCTACATGTGTAATAGGAATTGTAATGCATTCTGTTGTCATATAACAAATTAAAATTTTAAAAAATGGTTAAAATAGTAAATTTTATGTTAAGTATATTTTATCAAAAAATTAAAAGCTTTAAAATAGTGATATATATAAAATGACTTTTATATTAGTTGGGAAAGATAGGTTTCAAAATTGTGTACATGGTAAGATTACTTTTTTGTTTAAAAATAAACAAACATCTTCCCTACATGAGCTCAAGAAAGGCTCTCATTTTCTCTTGGGGGCAAGAACTGTGATCCCTATCTGTGAGAGAGGCTGAGAAACTGAGTGTTTAACTTTGACTCAGCACTCAAAGAATACAATGGAAGGGCTGGTTGAGAATCGGTAATGACTAAGCCAACTATATATAGTATTTCTAATATCAGAGATGGAGGTCTTGAAATCTTGCTCTATTCCTCTCCCTTTTGATGATTTAGAAAGTGAGACCAACCAGGTCTGCTGGGGTACAAAGCATGAAAACTCTTATGCTTTTCTCAAGACTTACACTACTGCTAAGTGACAAACCAGACAGCATTATTCAATTCAACACTGTTTGGAATGAAAATCCCATTTAAGGGTTTCAGTTTGGGTAACGTTAATCTGCCCACCTACTTGTCCTCTACACTGGGGCAAAACACCTTGGATCAAGAAAGCCTTCAGAGAGAGTATTTAACATGTTTGTCCTAAAGAGGTATTATATTAGCTTAGTTGGCTCACAGCAGTCCAGGCACTATCCTCTGAGAACTAAGCTAGACTGACCGCATTTGCATGAGAAAGAATGGTATGAAATATGACTTAAAGTAAAAAAAAAAAATTAGAAATCCAACATTGACAGAGAAGGAAGAACTCTGGGATGGAAGTCAGAAGAGAGAGTGTGGGTTCAGGTTCTACCACTGATCACCCTCGAATTCATTCATGTCATGGCATCTGTGTATCAGGAGGGCCAAGCACTGGAGGAAGGGGGTTGGGCGGTGATGATGCTAAGTAAATGATAGGATATTTTACTTGGACAAGCTGTTTATAGTTTTATAGTCTCTGAGCGTTTTCCACTTGTAACTCAAAAGATATTACTGTTAATAGGACATATGACCGAGAACTCAACTTTGGTGCCGTTCATGTTTTGGGGCTGATAATTCCTTCTTTAGTCCAGGGCTGCCTGTGCATTGTAGAATGTATAGTGTCATTCCTGGCCTCTACCCTTTACATGCTAATAGCACCCCACCTCTTCCAGTTATGACAGCTGAAACTACAGACATTACCAAATGTCCTCTGGGGACTGCCCATTTGAGAACCTTTGAAATTGGGTGACATATATAAAAACATTTTTAAAAAAGCATTAAGCTCTGGATAAATTTAAGTCAGTATTAATGTAAATCCATTTGCAAGATTACTTGTCAAAAAAAAAAAAACTTTAAAAATTTTGTTTCCTTAGGAATGTTTTATTTGCTATTTTTATATATTTTGCCTACCATTAAAAGTCCTTGAGGGCTTTTTGGTTAATTTTCTTTACCCAAACAAAAGTATCTTCATTACAACATACTTTTCAAATGTATCATTATAGTAACATGACAGTCGGAGTCAAATATAATTGCCGTCTCTACAAAGCAAAAATTTTATTTTCTTTATCCCAAATCAAAGTGCTCTGTGCCTACCTTTTAAGGACAAGGGACTGGATCTTGTGAATTCTGTATTTGATGGCCTGTGCTGTTTATGAACTTCCAAGTACTCCTTAACTCTTGAAAGAATGGTTTCTTTTAACAGCAAACAGACTTCCTAAGATAAATAAAAAATTGGATATAATTTTCTAATTTAATGCAATGCAAAAAAGCTAACAATATACACATTAAAATGCTGAACATTTCCTTCTGCTTGCTTTTTAATTTAGCTATGAATATTGAAAGAAATGTTATAGAGTGGTGGATATTATTGCAGACTTAAACATGCTACCAAAGTTTGTTTAAAACCATAATGCTGGTTTATAATCTCAAAAATTATTTATTTCTCTCTGCTTCAATTTCACAAATCAAAAACAAAGACAAAAAGGCTTATTACTTCAGTTTAAAAATCAGGGTGATGTGGTGATAAAATTGGTGAGATGAAGTATGCTTTCAAATAAATATCAGTCAGTTATTATGATGAATAGAAGAAACAATGGAGCCAATGCTGCTGGCAACAAGGGCCCCAGGGACATGCCCACTGTGGCCAGGCAGGAGAGTGTAGACAGGGGAGGAGTCAGGAGTAAGAACATATTCACATATTGTTGGTGCAAAAGTCATAGGGTCCCAGACCACAGCTCAGGCAATAGGAGGCAGCCACCATGGTTCTACCACACTACAGTTATATCTATAAGCATAGCATTCCCAGATCTTCTAACATGTTTGGGAAGAGCCAGAAACAGTGACTTTAACATAGAAAAGTTTCCTGTTTTCAAACTCATTTCAATTTTTTTTTAATGTAAACAACCTTATTCATTAGGTTCTGGCTTCAAGTTTAGAAATCTACTGAAGAGAGTTAGTTGAGCACTGGATTAAACAGAACTGGAAATAGTAATTTGATTTTCTTCCATATTCATGCTACTAATATCACATATACCCATTTGCTTTTGTTAAACTGTACAGTATTTATCTATTGATGAAAATAATTTAACTTCTCTTATTTCTATAAAGTAGGTTAATATTTAGTAAGTAACAATAACAGAGGAATTTAATTAAATTTCAGCATGCCATAAACACAACCCAATTTCTAGCTATTGGTTTGTATATTGGAAGACATTCAGTGTAGTCCTGCACTACTAGGATAATGTACTGTAGTGCAGGGAAAGAGAGGAAAACCATACATAAAAATGATGCCTAAGTACTGATAAATCCTGGTTCAATTCCCAAAGACGCTACAGCAGGCTCAGAGTTGCAGAGGTTACCTCAAACCTGTTTCACTGGTTTCTTACAATGCCATCTCTGAGAATCTTCATAAATTAAAACATTAACAAATTTTAAGCTGCTCTGAAAAGCAACCATAGCAAAACTTTTCCTTTATTGCAAATGCCTATATCCTTTAGACAGTATATAAAACCCTTGATTTAACTAACAAATAGAAGTTTTCTAGATAAAATACAAACACTGGTCTCCTCTCTCCTGCTTTTTATTTAGCAGCCCAAAGATGCAGTGCTTTGTGGATAGAGATATATCCATTTACAGTTGAGTGTTTTGGCATTGTTCACACAACAGAAAAGCAGCCTTGCCTTGTACTGTTGTTTTAACAATTAAAGAATTTTACTTCACATGCAGGGTTCAACTATGACTGAGCTAGAAAATATGTGAAAGACATACATGGAAACAAGGATTGTTAAAATTTGGCCATAAATACCCTATAAGGCTAGAACTAAAAATAGTATGAAAAAATAGAGCATAGGCCTATACACATAAAGTTTCTCCTTATAGTTCCAAAGCTGTCCTTTGTGAATCAGGTTTCACAAATGGAAGGACAACCGTGTGCAATGTGGTCACAATACCTAGTTAACTGACCATGCTGCACTTACAGAAGCATTCTCTGCTGAATCAGAACAATGCATGAAAAGAAAAACTGCCAACAATATGACATTTTAGGGGCAGAAGAAAAGACCAAGTTAAAATCAATAAGGAACCAGGAGAAACATAAGGCTTCTCTAGGGGCTTTACATTTGCTTCCTCGAGTTTACAAATGGAACTGTTTTAGTTTGACTGTTTGGGTACAAAGACTACTTGTGCTGGACTCAAAATAAATATATGTTTAATACATATAATTAAACTTCTTTTCTTAGACTTTCACTGTAGAAAGTAGCTGTTAAATGCACTCAAACTGGTTGCCCATGAAATCCCAACTGTGAGATAGTCTAATGATAAAAATGATGAAAGCACTAATAGGGCAAAGTCATGATTCGTCAATTAGCTCTTCTCCTTTCTTAAACACACAAATTATCCAGAAGCAATTTTAATGTTGGTGAACATGTGTTATAAAGGTACAACTTAAAAGTAGCAGCAGTCAGACATGTACTTTGATGTGAGAGAAAAGCTCAGCTTGCTGGCATGATCTCCCTTGCAGCTGCCACTGCAGCATTGCTCTGCAGGTCCTGTTGTGCACTGCACAACTTTGCAAAGTCATGCTTGGCTGCCCTGAACTAGGTACTAGTTGGAGCAATGCACCTGCATGTGGCACCTTGAAGAAACCTCACACTTGGCCTGGGAGGTGACTCACATACCCCTGGCTTTGAAACATTCCATATCAACTATCTCGTGGGCAAAAAATGATTAAGTATCAACATGAAAGGTCTAAGGCCAAAGAGGTAAAGCTGAGAGAGAATGCAGGAAAATCTGGGCCTGGAATAGTGGAATCTAGGACACTATTTTATTAATTAAGCCAGAAGCTTTCCAGTTAAAGTCCCTTTAGGTGAAGTATTAGTCACTTTAGGGAAATGAATTTTTTAACAATTAAAGAATTTTACTTCACATGTTAAATCATGTAGACTGCTAGTAAGCTAAAGCTTGGAATTATGTGAAGGTGGGTGGCAGTAAATGTTGGCCTGCTCGATATTAAGTTTTGAAGAGGACAGTCCATGGTTAATTAATTATCTGAATGATAAATTTCATCCTACTGAACCTTGTACCTTTCTTCTCACATCTTTAGATCACCATATATCCTTTGCAAATGACAGCAAAGTCCTGATGGTATTATCCTTTGACTGAAAATGTATAATCCTATAATTTTGGAGGAGGGAAAGCTTTAGTGATTTCTTAAAGTTGGCTAAAACAGTTATGAAAGGAAAACTTTTTAAAATTTTAAGCAACTATTACCAGTTTTTTCATATAATATTGCCTTTTAATAAAACTTACTTTTATTTCTAGCTCTAAAAATTGACAAATGAATATCATGGAAAAAACAAAGTACAATGGTACTTTGAAAATTATATTAAAGTCACTACCTCTGCTCTTTGGTAAGCAAAGGTCTGGAGAAGGAAGCAAAGTATGTGATAACTAAATGCATCTTCTAACCCTCCACCATAGGAACATGGAGGGGGAGGACCCTACAGTAAGTTAGAACAGAGAGGTGACTTAGGCAGTGTCTGGTCAAACCTCTTCATTTGCAGATGAGGAGGCTGAAGCATGAAGAGGTCAAACATCATATAGTGGATTCCTGATAACAAACAGGATTAGGATACTATCCTCTGCTCAGGTGGAAATTTGAGTATAACTTCCAACTCCCCCAAATTTAATTACTAATAACCTACTAGTGACTGGAAGCTTCACAATGACATAAAACAGTCAACACAAATTTTATACAGTGTATGTATTATATGTGGTGAAAAATTTTGGAAAACCCCAGGAAATCACTTCGTATTAGGGACAGGCAATTTATTAGAAAAACAAATTGTTCATGTGGAGACCACCACCTCACACAGTATTCTCAGCAGATATAATACCTGTACTCACTGGAATGGCAGTTTGTGAGATGCAATAGCACAGAACGCACCACAGTTAACCTTGTACAGTTGTGAATTAAAACTGCACTTTTACAACTGCTTTCATCTCTCTCAACTGCAAATGGTGCCAGGTATGGTCTGTATTTGTGTGTTTGACCTCTGCTAAAACTTAACTTTTTATAATAGATTTGTATATATTTTATGGTGGTAAATAATAAAATAGACTATTGTCTTACATTTATTTCATGTGTTCATGACACAACTTTTTCTTAATTTTTTTCAATATCCCAAGGCTACAGAGTTTGTCTGATAGTTTTTTCAAACTGTCATAAATCTCCAAAAGTAAATTCCACATGAAGTAGACCTGTGCAGTTTGAACATGTGTTGTTTCAGGGTCAATTACATGTCCATACTTGACTATTTGCTTTACTGACTGACCAACAGGAGAGAAGGGACAAATATCTCCTCCCTTGTGAAAAGCTCAAGACAATGAAAGGCTGGTAGAAGATAAAAGATGGGGTTTAAGATGAGTGTGAAAGACCAGCCTTGAGTTAACCACCATGCCTAATGCAGGTTCCCAATCATCTGGAATAGTTTCCCCTTCTCCTTTTCCTCTTCTTCCTCCTTTTACCAACTCCATTTCCTCATCCTCTTCCTCCCCTTTCTCCTCTTATTTTTTTTTTTTAATATAGAGAACTCTTCTCCCCAAAACAAAGAGGTGTACAATTTTTGGTTTAAATAATAGAATTAAGAATGGGGATACAGCTCATATAGAGTGTAAGCACAAGGCCCTGGGTTTGATCTCCAATACTGCAAAAGACAAATTAAAATAATAAGAATAGCATATGAAGTGTATGGACTTCTGAAGGTAGGGAAAAGCTAACTATGTATGTTTCTGTTAATGAGGATCCAAGCATTATTTTTTTTTAAGTGTTAAACACTGCTCAACTTTTTTTTTTTCCCTCACAAATGAAAATGAAAGTTGAAGAGAGCTGATATCTCTTCTAGTAGCTGGAGTTACTTAGGGATAATTGCATTTAAATAATAAAAATGTTGCTATACCTCTTTCTTCTGTTCAGAAAACCAGCTGGTATCTTTGTTTGAACCTTGTGGCGATATATGAAGATCCACCAGTACAGCAAAATTCCCACACTGAAAGACATTAATGGCAAAGTCAATGTCTGTGCAGCTCATGACCAACAATGAAAGAGAATCTCACAAATTCCTATGTGGTTGCTCATTATGAAATGGTAACCAAGTAAACTAATGGACAGAAATCTTAATATGGGACAGGGCTATAGGTCATAACCTATTATTTTTTCTTCAGTTTAAAATTTATAGTGGAAATGCTACAAAGAACTACAAGGTTGATCAGGACAGATATGACAAAATACCTATCTTTGGACCACACCCTGAAAGGGGATGCCCAGTGTTAGTTGGCAGACTATCAAACATTGAGGAAGTTAAATAGGTTAGTACTAGGTAGGCTTCAGGAAAGAATGATTCTGTGCAAGGCTGGGGAATTCTTCCTTCTACTAGGAAAGAAGAGACATAAAGGATTGGCTGGGACAGACATCTTAGGATAGAAACAGAAAAGTGGAAGAATGAAAAGGAAAGAAAGAAAGTAGGTAGTTGACGTCAATTATCAAAATTAAAGACTGTTTCATTAAAACATGCTATAAACTATGTAAGCCTGGCCTCTAATTCCACTGACTAGTACTATATAGCACTTTTGGGAAAAAAAAAATTCTCTATCTGCACTGTTCATCAGCATAGCCAGTAGCCATATGTGGCTAGTGGGCGCTCACAATGTGGCTGTTAGGATTGAAAAGCTGAATTTCAACTTAACTAAAATCACCGCATGTGGCTACTGCTTTGTCCTGGATGGCACACCTATAGGTCCCATGAAAAGTTGGAGCCTTTTAAGTCCTTGCCCCTTGTGAGTAATTTCTGAGAGTCACAAGGTAATTGTGAACAAATTAATCTGAAAAGGAATAGACAACCAAGGCCGTAGGCTGGGCATGTCTAAGATACCTAGAGGTTTGGTTTACAAACCACAGGGCAAAGTCATTTTTGCACTTTTCTGGCTAAACAGCTTCCTCCCCTTAATTCTGTACTATAGTTCCATGGAATTAGGATCTAAAAAGCACTAAATATTGAAAGAAAAACTGTTAAATTGGACACTGTCAAATTAAAAGCCTGTGCTCATAAAAAAATTAGTGAAAATGAGTATGTAAGCCTCAGACTAGAAAAAATGTATTGATATATACATATATCTGACATAAAAACTGGTATCCAAAACATGTAAAGAAGTCCTACACATTAATATTAAAAAAATGAGTATCTCAAGCCTGAAAAGATACTTCATAAATAAGATAAATGAATGGTAATAAGTACCTGAAAAAAGAATTGAACAGCATTAATTACCCAGCAAAGGCAAATTAAAACCACCAAGAGAGACACCTATAGCACTTATCAGAATGACTAAAGTTAAAAATACTGGCACAAAACCAAATGTTGGGAAGGACATAGAGCAACCCAAACTCTTACACATTGCTAGTGGAAACATAAATTGTTCAGCCAGTTTGGCAAATCGTTTGCAGTTCCCTGTAGCTAAATTTATATTTATTAACTGACTAAATCAACAATTCCACCCCAGGTATTTATACAAGGGACAAGAAGCTTATGTGCATACAAAGATACAAAGGCAAATGGTCATGGAGGTTTTTAACACATGATAACTAAAACTAAAGACAGCCTAAAAGCCTATCAACAAAATAAACACTTTGGTATTGACACAATGGAATGCTGCTCACCAAACTATTGATACCTTCAACATGGATTCATCTTTAAAATACTGCATTAAGCAAAAGAATACACATTGTGTGATTACATTTATATAAAATTCTTCACAGCAAAACCAACATAAGATCAAAGCCATGGGAACGATGACTGTTCAGAGAGGAACTGGCTTAGAAATTGCACAAAGGAACTTTGGTGATGAGAATATTCTTTGTCTTGATAGTCCATCTTAGGTGTACACTTAAAATCAGTTCCTTTCACTGTATGTAATTTATATTTTTAACAAATTTTTAAACAGGTGTAAAGTGCATCTGTATTTGTTGGCAGTTATTTAAAATATAGGTATTGTGATGCTGAAAATGGGGTATTTGGTCTCTTAAGATACTGAACAGTACTGTGGCCCACTGAACTGCACAGTTTAGTGTCTTGCAACCTCTGTTTTATTTTAACGAAAGAGAACTGAATAGAATATTAGAATGCAATAAAAAATAACGATTTGTCATATGGTAAGGTTGAGGATTATTTTATGAAACCTAAGTATTTGTGTATGGAGTTATGATGGAAAGCCTATTTCTTAATTTGGTCAAAAATGTTTGAAAATCATACTCAAGTGCACAGATAAAATTTCTCCTCAACCATTGATTACAGACAGATTTAACCTTTAAGGAGTATGCTGCCACCAGGTGGAGGTCACAAGCCACAACTACATGATCTTAGCCAGGGGACATTAACTTTTTATGTGCCATGGACCTCTTTAGACAACTGTGAAGTAGCTGAAACTTGCTCAGAATGTTTTTTAAATGCAGGAAACATAATACATAGGGTTAAAAAGAAAACCAATTACACTTACAGTTACCAAAATTTATAACACAAATTTGTGATACAGTAATGTATATACATGTTGTAGGACCTGGGTCTCGATTTAGTGGCTACTCTAAACTTGAAAGTAGTAAAGAGCATAAGTGTTACATTGAGATTTCTACAACAAGTATAATATGAAAAGAGCTGTAATTTCTAATGATGATAAATGTTGTTAATACCATTGTGTTTTCCATTCCACATTCATAATAAGAGGAAACCTATATTTACTAGAACTTGGTCAAAATAAAGATAACTTTTAACCCATTTGCATTCACTGAAACTCTGAATTCTATCATGGGCCCACTGAGGTTCTAGTGATTATGGAATAAAAGATAAAAGTCCCTCCAGAGCAATAAGATGTGCCTCACACACATTTTATTAGGGTTTCACATAGCTGATCTTGTCTGTACCTGTACCTGATTCTTGTTTAAATCAAGGTCTCTGCTCCTACTTCATGCACAAAAACAATTCTTAAAGTTGGAAGAAAAAAAAGTGAGGCTTGGAAAACAAGTTGTACTGATAGCATCATAGTTACCTTCTAAAAAGAATTAAACAGTACAGTCTGATTTGGTATTTTTCTCACTGCTTCATGACTTTGATCACAAATAACCTGGTGTAATTTGATTATAAATGGACTAATGCAAATGTTGGTCTCTCTTTTTTGGGGGGGAAGGGGGATACCAGGGTTTGAACTCAGGAGCACTGGATCACTGAGCCACATCCCCAGCCTCCCCCACTTTTTGTATTTTATTTAGAGACAGGGTCTCACCGAGTTGCTTAGTGCTTTGCTAAATTGCTGAGCGCTGGCTTTGAACTCATGATCCTCCTGCTTAAGCCTCCCAAGCCACTGGGATTACAGGTGTGCGTCACTGTGCTTGGCTCTCTTTTTAAATAAATCATTCAATCTTACTCTAGTGATCAATATTTCCTGGGTTTTTGGAAGACTTCACCACCACCACTAGGCAAGCATCCCCTCTCCACAGTGGGCTCTCCCTGTGCAGCTAGCAGTCCTGAGTTCTACAGCATGAGTTCACTCAAACTCCCACAGTAATAAGAGGTATTGCCCTTTTTGGGAGGATGGGGGGGTACAGGGGATTGATTTCAGGGGTAATTGGCCACTGAGCTATATCTCCAGCCCCATTTTGTATTTTATTTGGAGACAGGGTCTCACAGAGCTGCTTAGCATTTCATTGTTGCTGAGGCTGGCTTTGAACTTGCAATCCTCCTGTCTCAGCCTACTGAGCCACTGGGATTACAGGCATACACCAGCTTGCCCTCTCTAAAGTTCCCTACTCCCAAAGCTTTGCTTCTTATCTCCCATGAGTCAATAGAAGTAGAGGGGGGAAAACTGTTACCACAGCCCGGCTTCTCCTCCTCCTTAATTAGAAAGAGAGCATGTCTACTCTCAGAAGATAAACTCTCCAGCTCTTTTCTGAGAGAAGCAACACAGTGAACCAGGCCAGAGTGGGTCATTTTACACAGGCCAAGTTAACTCTCTGACAGCCCAAAGGCTACTAGTAACAGCTTTGTGTTCCATGCACTTGGCTGTACTATGCAACCACAGGCCATGATCTGGTCTAGCTTCTGCTCCTACTTCACCTGGAGGTTTCAGCCACAGCCTGGGAGACACCCTTAATTCCCCTCTCCCTAGCCCTCCAGATTGGCCGCCACATCTTGTCTGTCGATTTTATCTTTAAAGCATTCTAAAACCTATTTCTCCTCTCTCTTTCTCCACTGCTCACATCATCTCCTACTTTGAAAATTAGAGCCACATCTAGTGGTGTCCTAGATGAACCTTCCAGGTCAGTATCAGGGCAATCTGTCATACACAAGTCTGATCCTCAGTGAAAGCAACTATTACTGCAGCTCAGAGCACAAGTCAAGCTCCCACCTCCCCACTAACTCCCACTACTCTTCAACAGACATCTGAATTTTTCACCCTTTGCTTAGAATGTGCCTTAATGTCCCCATGCTTGGTAGACTCCTTCTATATATTCTAAAAGTCTAGATATTCTCAAAGTAGAAATATGGCTAGCTCCATGAAGCTTTTCTGAATAATTTTTCTCTATCTCCTTTGAACTGAACACCTTCTTCAGGTGCTTATGAATATCTGCATTAAATGACTAGTCCATGAAGTGGCCTCCCTTGCAAGACTGTAAGCTACAGTGGGGATGCCATCCACATGTCTGTATTCCTAGTGAATAACACAGTAGCAGCTCACAGAACATACTTCTATTTAAAAGAAAGAACAAATGAACAAATGGCAGAATGAGTTAGCTCTGAGTTTCAGGCTAATCACCTACCTCCCTATCTGCAAAGTGAGGACTCTAAAGCCCTTTCTGGGAACAAGCCCATCCTAATCAGCACAGGACACTGAAGCATTGTAGCAACTTCCTCTCTCCTTATTCTGGAGTGGCAACAACTATGTTATCACCAATGACAACCAGTCATTTTTCAAATTTTGAAAAATTGGAATACAAGGATCCTGG